AGATTAACAACGAAGGAACGGAAGTCGTTTACCGCAGCATCTGGGGGACGGCCGACACCGACGGACAGGGAGCCCGCCGTCCAGAGAGGGCCTCTCGCAGATTACTCGTCAAGAACCAGCCGGCCGACATGCGCAGAAGGCCGAGGGAAGCGGCCCGTCCCTTTCGGAGGAGCATAGAGTGGCGACCCTTTGGCTGACGCTCTGCGCTTTGGGGCTTAGCTTCTCGGTGTCCCGATCCTGGGCAAGTGGCCTACGACGGCCTCCCTGGTAAAGCTATGGGACGGGAACCACTGCCCTCCTGTGGTCAGAAACGGGTACTGCTGCCGCCCAAAGAAATAAATGCTTTTGAATAGCATTTGAAGCTTATTCTTCTCTATTTTTATTCTTAACGCCTTATTATTAATATTAACGTGGCGACGGGGGGCCCGGTCGGTGCGACACGGGCGCAGAAGAAATCCTGGTTCCAATCTTAAACCGAGTTAAGGCCTATCGTGGCTTATTCATATTAATAAGTGTTAATAATCAAGAATAATCATCTTAAAGAGGTTTATTTATTTTTCTGGCCGCAGTATCTGATTTGACCAGTTTTCCGTCCCTTAGCAGGGCTGGCTCAGGAATTCTGGGAGTTGAAGTCCACCAGTCATCAAAGAGCCAAGGTTGCCTATCCCTGCCTTAGCTATAGGATGGAGGCCATTAAAAAGGCTTAGGATGGACTCCAAGCCAAAGCTATGGGACAGAAAACTGTGCCCTCCTCTAGTCAAAAATGGGTATTGCGGCCACCCAAAGAAATAAACCTTTTTAATGGCATTTTAAAATGACCGTATTCTCTATCTTTATTAACGGTATTAATACCTTATTAATAGACGAAGGTCCACAAAGTTAGATGGACGGCGAACAAATTAATAAATGCCATTAGTTGCAACTTCTCACGTCTCATCCCTTTTATTCCATCCTTTAAATGATAAACCTATAAGGGAACGATAGGTTATATACTTTTTCAAAATAAACTACATTTATTTTTAGATTGATCGTTTCGTAATAAAAATACACAATATTTCAAATAGATATTTGATATTGCGCTTATATGAATACATAGGTATCTCTAAGAAATATAGTTTAGAAACACCAAACTAAATACAAACCTACATACGTACGATCTCCTTAAAGAAAAAGAAGGGCAGGACAAACAAAACTATGCTTGAATAAAAACATCTGGGTTTGCTTGAAGGGGGCGAGCGGGGTGCACTTTTAGGAGCAACCTCTTAAGGTGTAACACAGGGAAGTGCGATACACTGGATCATGGAGAAAGCTAGGGAGTTCCAGAAAAACATCTACTTCTGCTTCATTGACTACGCTAAAGCCTTTCATTGTGTGGATCACAACAAATTGTGGCAAGTTCTTAAAGAGATGGGAATACCAGACCGTCTTATTTGTCTCTTGAGAAACCTATACGCGGGTCAAGAAGCAACAGTGAGAACTGGACACGGAACCACGGATGGGTTCAAAATTGGAAAACGAGTCCGGCAAGGCTGTATACTGTCGCCCTGCCTATTTAACTTATATGCAGAGCACATCATGAGAACGGCAGGGCTAGAGGAAACAAAAGTTGGAATTAAGATTGCCGGGAGAAATATCAACAACCTAAGATATGCAGATGATACCACGCTAAGGGCAGAAAGTGAAGAGGAACTAAGGAGCCTCTTGATGCGGGTGAAGAAGGAGAGTGCAAAGTTGGCTTGAAACTCAACATTAAGAAAACCAAAATCATGGCATCCGGCCCACTCAATTCCTGGCAAATAGATGGGGAAGAAATGGAGGTGGTGACAGATTTTATTTTTCTGGGCTCCAAGATCACCTCAAGATCACCTCAGATGGGGACTGCAGCCAAGAAATTAAAAGACGCTTGCTCCTGGGAAGGAAAGCTATGGCAAATCTAGACAGCGTACTAAAAAGCAGAGACATCACCCTGCCAACAAAAGTGCGTATAGTCCAGGCCATGGTTTGCCCAGTTGCAATGTATGGCTGTGAAAGTTGGACCATAAGAAAGGCTGAGCGCCAAAGAATTGAGGCCTTTGAACTATGGTGCTGGAGAAGACTCCTGCGAGTCCCTTGGACTGCAAGGCGTTCAAACCGGTCAGTCCTAGAAGAGATCAACCCCGACTGCTCTTTAGAAGGCCAGATCCTGAAGTTGAAACTCAAATACTTTGGCCACCTAATGAGAAGGAAGGACTCACTGGAGAAGCGCCTAATGCTGGGAAAGATTGAGGGCAATAGAAGAAGGGGACGACAGAGAATGAGGTGGTTGGATGGAGTCACTGAAGCAGTAGGTGTGAACTTAAATGGACTCTAGAAGATGGTAGAGGACAGGAAGACCTGGAGCAACGTTGTCCATGGCGTCGCGATGGGTCAGACACGACTTCGCAATTAACAACAACAACAACAACAAAAGAAATAAACCTTTTTAATGGCATTTTAAAATGATGGTATTCTCTATCTTTATTAACGGTATTAACACCTTATTAATAGGGCCCATTGGAGGAAAATTCCACTTAGGGTCTCCTGCTTCAGCAGGCGGCTGGACTAGAAGACCTCCGAGGTCCCTTCCAGCTGTATTCTGACAGAATTTTCCTCCAATGGGATTTTCCCATGTATTTTACCAGGAAACATACATAGGGCAGCCTAGAAAAGTCAGTGCCCTCCTAACCATACCCAAGCACTCCGAGTTTGTTGGCGATGTCCATTTTGCTCTAGGAGTTCACGATGACGTAACCCTAACCCTAACTGGAATTTTCCTACAATGGGATTTTCCCATGTATTTTACCAGGAAACATAGAAAGGGCAGACTAGAAAAGTCAGTGCCCTCCTAACCATACCCAAGCACTCCGAGTTCGTTGGCGATGTCCATTTTGTTCTAAGAGTTCATGGAGACGTAACCCTAACCCTAAGTGGAATTTTCCTCCAATGGGATTTTCCCATGTATTTCACCAGGAAACATACATACGGCAGCCTAGAAAAGTCAGTGCCTTCCTAACCATACCCAAGCACTCCTAGTTTGTTGGCGATGTCCATTTTGCTCTAAGAGTTCACGGTAACGTAACCCTAACCCTAAGTGGAATTTTCCTCCAATGAGATTTTCCCATGTATTTTACCAGGAAACATAGAAAGGGCAGCCTAGAAAAGTCAGTGCCCTCCTAACCATACCCAAGCACTCCTAGTTTGTTGGCGATGTCCATTTTGCTCTAGGAGTTCACGGTGATGTAACCCTAACCCTAAGTCGAATTTTCCTCCAATGTGATTTTCCCATGTATTTTACCAGGAAACATAGATAAGGCAGCCTAGAAAAGTCAGTGCCCACCTAACCATACCCAAGCACTCCGAGTTTGTTGGCAGTGTCCATTTTGCTATATCAATTCATTGTGATCTAACCCTAACCCTAAGTGGAATTTTCCTCCAATGGGATTTCCCCATGTATTTTACCAGGAAACATAGATAGGGCAGCCTAGAAAAGTCAGTGCCCTCCTAACCATACCGAAGCACTCCGACTTCGTTGGCAATGTCCATTTTGCTCTAGGAGTTCATGGTGACGTAACCCTAACCCTAAGTGGAATTTTCCTCCAATGGGATTTTCCCATGTATTTTACCAGGAAACATACATAGGGCAGCCTCGAAAAGTCAATGCTCTCCTAACCAAACCCAAGAATTCTGAGTTTGTTGGCGATGTCCATTTTGCTCTAGGAGTTCATGGTGACCTAACCCTAACCCTAAGTGGAATTTTCCTCCTATGGGATTTTCCCATGTATTTTACCAGGAAACATAGATAAGGCAGCCTAGAAAAGTCAGTGCCCTCCTAACCATACCCAAGCACTCCTAGTTTGTTGGCGATGTCCATTTTGCTCTAGGAGTTCATGGTGACGTAACCCTAACCCTTACTGGAATTTTCCTCCAATGGGATTTTCCCATGTATTTTACTAGGAAGCATAGATAAGGCAGCCTAGAAAAGTCAGTGCCCTCCTAACCATACCCAAGCACTCCGAGTTCGTTGGCGATGTCCATTTTGCTCTAGGAGTTCATGGTGACCTAACCCTAACCCTAAGTGGAATTTTCCTCCAATGGGATTTTCCCATGTATTTTACCAGGAAACATAGATAGGGCAGCCTAGAAAAGTCCGTGCCCTCCTAACCATACCCAAGCACTCCTAGTTTGTTGGTGATGTCCATTTTGCTCTAGGAGTTCATGGTGACGAAACCCTAACCCTAAGTGGAATTTTCCTCCAATGGGATTTTCCCATATATTTTACCAGGAAACATAGATAGAGCAGCCTAGAAAAGTCAGTGCCCACCTAACCATACCCAAGCACTCCGAGTTTGTTGGCGGTGTCCATTTTGCTATATCAATTCATTGTGACCTAACCCTAACCCTAAGTGGAATTTTCCTCCAATGGGATTTTCCCATGTATTTTACCAGGAAACATACATAGGGCAGCCTAGAAAAGTCAGTGCCCTCCTAACCATACCCAAGCATTCCGAGTTTGTTTGCGATGTCCATTTTGCTCTAGGAGTTCATGGTGACGTAACCCTAACCCTAAGTAGAATTTTCCTCCAATGGGATTTTCCCATGTGTTTTACCAGGAAACATAGTTGCCAAGCATCCCAGTCACCATCCCAGGATCGCAGGGGTGCTGCGCCAGGGAGAACTTCCAGGATCTGTTGTAAATGCGCTCATTCACCATCGCAACTTTGAGCAGTGGTTGTTAACTGAGGAATTTGTGTACCAATCTTCCCTAAACCTTTCTGTTCTTTGAACTCTGGCGGCAGTTCCACTGACATTTTTAGCACTGTTTGTTTAAATGCACTTCCTCCACAGTGTACTATTGTGAAATATGACTAGGGTGCTGAAGGGAAGTGTATCTGCTTAGTAGCACGTAACCTGCAGTATACGGAGCTTTTGTAAGTACCGATCCAGACTTGGTTGCAAATAAATAAGAATGACTAAAAACTTTCAAAATCACACATTTTATATTTAATATAGTGCAACAAAAATAGTTAGGAATGCAAGAACTTTTACAGATTAAAAAAATAGTGTTTAAAACCATCTGATCTTAAAAATAGACAGTGAAGCTTAAAATACAACTACATTAGTTATTTTTTAGTGCTTCTTGCCTGGGACCAGCATAACTATTAAGGAAAGACTTCATTTCTTAAAACAGACACTTCTGTAGAGACTGCTCGTTCATAGTCAAAGTCTAGTATAGTTTTGCCTCTGAATGGTGAGCTTGAACGTTCTTGCTGGATCCATTCAGCCAGTTTGGAACTGGAATGTACCAGAGAGTTACTTTGACCACCGTTGGTTTGAGAGCAAACATTATTCACTTCAGGATTTTTGGTTTTGTGATGGTTGATGTAAACTTTGTATTTCAGCAGAAGTATAAAGATAAAAACAAGGACAGACGCCACAATGATGCCTCCAATGATAATAATCATAGTTCCACCAAGAAACTGTGCATGGAGGGACTGACACTGCTGGTATGCCTCCTCCGTGGAGAACTGCACACACCCTACCACGAGGGTTGCTGTCAGAGAAGTGACACCATCATCATAAACAGCAAGGACACACAGGTCATAGTCCCGCCCAGCAACCAGGTCAGTCAGGAAGAAAGACTTGCTAGAAGCTGGGATCATCCTGCAAGAGAAGACAAACTCAGTCTATATAGCACGAGAAACACACAGTATCATCCCGCTCCACTTTCATGGTTTCCTGAAATGCTAAAAGGATGAATAGGGTAGCCGTTGGCTGTGTAGGCAGCGTAAGTGTCTGTTGGTGGCCATGAGGGTGTTAAAATGGCAAGGTGTGCATTATGATATCGTGATGCCTTCTGCCTTCTTCTCCTGGCATCACAGTATTGCGCACAAGTATATATGTTTTAACATTATAATGTACTCGCCCCTGTGGACGCCTCATGCCCGTGAGTCGAAGGGGCAGCCACCAGTTACTTGCCTGGTGAACACAGGGCAACAATGACACAAAATGATGCAAGCAGGCAAACTTCACAAAGGGAATAGAGCGATGTGACTGAGCATAGACGGGCTGCTCCTTTGGCTGGCCTCTGTTGACCAACCTTCTTGCAACCATGACACCAAAGCTGACTCTGCTTGAGAAGCTTCGGTTGCCATTTTGTTCACTTTGAACAGGAAACGGCTTTGATGGCAACAGGCATTTGCCAGCTTTGGAGATCCGCCTAAAACTTCAAAGGGATGACCTTTAGCCTCTTTGGTCCAAACGCAATTGAGTGCAGACAGCTGACATGAGAAGGGATCCACTACCACCGTTTTGGATTGTTATAGCATCTTTATTAAAAGGCCGAAGCTTTCGTGAGCTGTGTCTCTTCAGGTAAACTGCAGCTGATGAAGGCTTCTGCCTTTTGATAGCATTTCCTGGTTGGAAAAGGAGCTACTGGGTATAGGATATCATGGGGCTACGGAAGGAATTTCATAAGTTTGTATTATTGTTTCTTGGTTATTAACATGGTGAGATGGATGGTCATACAAGTGCAAATAAATGCATGCATGCATACATTATTTTAGATAGCCCAGTAACCAAAGGATTCTTAAAAATAGCATTAAGCCTATTTTTATGAGGTCTTCTATAACATCAACACACAAGACTGTGTTTTTTAACTTCTTCAAGCTGATGGTGCATTCGTATTCTTTCTTTGACAAAGCAACATTATAGTCTCTCTCTCTCTCTCTCTCTCTGTATATATACATACATACATACATACATACATACATACATACATACATATACACTCTTTCTGTATATATATATACACACACACATACATAAATATTTAAATTGCTGTTTTTCAATTATGTAAAGGCCTGACATATAGGTTTCTCTCTGACTAACCTAGACATGAAATTTATTCAAGGCCATATTTCACCTGCCATGGGGAGCAGAATTGGGACTGGCAAATTGAGGAAATTAACCCAGGGAGAGAGGGGAGGGAGGGAGGGAGGGAGGGAGGGAGGAAGGAAGGAAGGAAGGAAGGAAGGAAGGAAGGAAGGAAGGAAGGAAGGAAGGAAGGAAGGAAGGAAGGAAGGAGCTCTATCCCCAGCTACTGTTAGGCTTAGGCCCAGGAAGCAATTTCAGAGAACTAGGAGACGATGAGTTCTAGTCTTGCCTTAGGCATGTGGCCGGCTGGGTGATCATGGGTCAATCACTTTCTCTCAGCCCTAGTTAGAAGGCAAGATGAAACCCCTTCCAAGAATGTGGCCAAGAAAACGAAAGGGACTACTCCAGGCAATCACCAGGAATTGAGACACAAAAATGAAATTAAATTGACCAGCCTGTTTTTTAATGCAATACTCATGTATCCTGTATGGAGTTCTAGTTTAAAAGGAACGTGAGGAACTAAGAGCCCTGGCTTGGATTTTCCCTTTTGAGTGGGAGATGTTTCTCTTTTCATTCTGCCTCATGAGGATCTTCCTTTTACCTTCCCAACTCATTCCATGCGAAGGCGTCAAGCAAGCACTTTTACTCCTCTAATCACTGAGATTCCTATCACTGCACCATGCCAGAAATAAACTTGAAACAAACCTGGCAACAATGCGTACCTGTACACCAGGATGTCATCAGCAGAACTGTTGTACTGGATCTGGAACATTCTCATCCCAGGACTATGGTGCTGTGAAGGCCACTGGATGAGGGCAGAGGATGAGGTCAGCTCAGCAATGGCCACTTTCCTCTCTTGGCGAGATTTGGTTTCATTAGAGAAGCTGGATTTGGCCGAGATGAGGATATCCGATGGGCCCGTCTCAGCTTCTTTGCCAGAGTTTGTGCTGTTAGCGAGATGAGGATATGGGCTGACCAGAAGTTCAACTGGTGCAGTGGACTCCCCTGCAGCGTTGGATGCTATACAAGTATACATGCCATGCTCTTCCATGGAAGTCTCTAAAATGTCCAAAGTCCCATTCTCATAGGAAATTGTTCGAGAAGTGTTGGAGACCAATTTTCCTCCTGGTGAAATCCAGCGCACGTATGGTTCTGGATCACCTACTGCTCTACACTTCAAGGAAACGCTCTGTCCTTCCATGATCATTTGCTTTGCCGTTCTGCGAGTGATCATTGGTGGTTCGCAAACAAACTCCTCCTCCTTAATGGACCAGAAGTACTTGCCCATCAGCTCGGGTGGGGAGGCACAGGTTTCCAGGTCATCTTCCCTAGTCAGGCGTCGCAGCCACACTAGCTCACAATTGCAGTGTAGCGGGTTCCCTCCAAAGCTCAGGACCAAAGAGGACAGGGGGGTGCCCTTGGGCTTGGCGTAGACAGGGATGCGGGAGAAAAGAGGGTCTGGAGGGATCTTCCTGAGCTGGTTAGAAGTCATGTCCAGCCGAGCCAGTTTGTGGAGATCAGAGAAGATGCCTTCAGGAACAAAATCTATGAGGTTATGATCCAAACTAATAGTATTGGCATTTGAAAGCTTCCCAACAGTTTCCCAGGGGACATTAACAAGATTGTTATAGGATAGATCCAGATCCTCAATTATGTCAATAAAATCATCAAAAGATCCAGATGAAATATAATGTAACTGGTTGTTACTGAGAATTAAGTGGCGAAGGTTGATCAACCCTTTGAAGTGATCCTCATCAATATAGGTGAGTCGGTTACTATCCAGGTGTAATGCATGAAGGCCTTTAAGATCAAAAAATGCATAAGGCATAATATGACTGATTGTGTTTCGTGATAGCGTTAAATGGATCAGGTCTGTCATGTTTGCAAAATCCTTCCTTCGCAAACTCGTGATGAAATTATCCATCAGTCGGAGTTCTGCTGTCCGTCGGTCAATGGCAGGAGGGACAAAGAGCAGCCCGTTCTTTGTGCAGAGAATGGTGAAAGAGGGGGACACCGTCTGGCAGCTGCAGCGCATGGGACACATCAGGACCCTCATAGCCATGGTGCTCATAACCAGAAGGCAGAAAACCCACTTTTCCATGGTAAGAGATAGAGGGCACCTAAAAAAAAAGAAATAGAAAAATCCATGAAGATGAATTTGAACAAAACATGCTTTAGAAGTAAAAAAACATAACGGAAAGCAGCATTTGGCTGGGAGTCTACTTGGTTACTCCTACATCGGGCTAATTTTTCAGCTAATCTATCTGCTGTAGACATTAAAAAAAAGCCTGAGACTGAAAGATGACCATGGTTGGAGTCCAGACTTTCATTCTGTGCTGCTGGCCTCTTGAATTGCTTTTTACTTAAAACAGAGTTTATTTAAAAACAAAGATTTTTTAAAAGATATAAAAGGGTGGAGGTCATACAACTATAAATTGATAGGGAGAGGAAGGAACTTCGGAGGTCTTCAATCCCCTTCCCAGGGCAAGAATTCTCTCCAATAAATGGCTTCCTAACCCTTTTCTGAAAATCTCCTATGATGCAGATGATACAATTCCCAGAGACGAGGCTCTTCCTCGGCTCTCAGTCAGAAAATCCCTCCTTGTTTTGAATTTGGATCTCTCCCTTTCTGTAAAGCTTCCGCTTTGTGGCTCTCGTCCTCCCCTTGAGGACTGCAAAGCCTCTCTCTGCAGTACAGCACGGGGTCACTAAGGGTTGAGCACAATTTGATGGCATATTATTAATGATAATCAATATTTAAGTTACATTAAAGGATTAACCAGAATCTCAAATGCATTATAGTTTATCTAACCAGAATAGCTTCAGATAAGAGATCATAGAGGCTTCAGATTTCAATACTGCCTGTCTTATGCCACATCAATAATTAATGGCAGCATTGTTCTTGCAGTTTTATATATTCTAATGTGATGTCCTTGAGGCTGGATGCACTTAGAAAGATGCATTCAGGATAGATCGGATCAATGTGCTCCTGTGAGAATTACATTTCTTCCTTTCCAGCCGCATTAATCTTTTGAAACTATTCAGGGTGCTTATTGTAGTTCATTCCAGAAACTGTTACACTGACATTGCCCCTGCTGCCTTTAAAGACAATAAATACAGTAACTCTGTTTACTGCTTCAGCAAAAAGGCAAGAAATGTTAGATAAAACCATGAAAAATAACTTATGTATGTCAGTTGGAATTTTGCCTTGGTCTGCCACAAAATGTCAGGAATGTTCAGGGCACCCCAGGAGGTGGAACTCCTCGATCTGCCACGAGGTTCTTTTTTATACCTGGATCAACTATCCTGCTGCCTGATTTGATTTCTAAGGTGAGCCAAGGGCCAAGGTGGATTGCCACATCTGTCACACTACTTTCCTACCAATTAATTCCATGGCGTTTCCTTGGCGAACCTTTTAGAGACTTGAGTGCACAAAAACTGCCCCCCACCCCCATCCCCGCTCCACCCTGTCCACTGGGCCACCCACCACCTCCACAGCCCGCCACAGATCACCCAGGCAGCCCAGCAGCGCCATGGCAGCCATGCCCTTCGCCCGTGCCCTGCAGCAGCATCTGCGCGGAATGGGGCACAAAGGGTGGGGGTCTTGTCCCCACTGCCCAGCTACCATGTCTTTGGCTCCACTGCTTCATGTGGGCCTCGCCCAGGGGCAACTCTCCTCCGGGGGGGGGGCTGCTGGTGAGGAGGGGACCGTGGGAGAAGGCAGGGCTGGGGAGATGGTGCATGCACCCACAGAGAGGGCTCCGAGTGCCACCTTTGGCTCCTGTGCCATAGGTTTGTCACCACTGTTATAATAGGTCCAGCTTGCTTTGTTTGAGGAGATGGAGCTGGTATTTGACAGTGACAGGAATACGAAAGGTATCTCACTTTTCTATCCCTAAATGGAAACTCCAACCCAGCAACCGAGATAAAACCTCCTTTGGTTAGAGTGCTAATAGCAAACTGTAATATTTAACATTGTTTCCTAATGCTGATCTTAGCAGCAGCATGTGCTTCAAAACAAAGAAACAATGTCTATTTCTGAGGCAGCGTTTCTACAAAGCACTCCAGCCGCTACCAGAAAAGATTATTCCTTATAGGACGGGCAAGGCACCATGAGACCCGTTCAGCTTCTTCGGGCTGAAAATACTGGTGATTCCTGGTTCCTATTTACTTGGCTCGCTGTGGTGGCTTTTAGCTGCACTTTGTCCATTGCTGCAAACAGAAAAATATAAGTATGATACAAATAGAAGCCTTCCAGCTAGTAGTCTTCTCATTATTTTAAAGGGCCAAATTCTTTTCCTACCACAAACATCTTGCAATAGAACACAAAGTTGACAGCAACTATTTGCACATCTCTCACTTAATTTTTATCCTCTATTATTCCAGTGTTTCAAAACTGCTCTTCTGAAAAGTCCATAAATTAAATGCAGGGGGTGGGGAAAGATTCTGCTCACTCGACAATAACCCCGTCCGGGCTGGAGAGAAGCTACTCCAAGAAGCTCAAGGATAGGCTGCCTGATGAGATCAGACCAACCCCCCCCCACTCTCGCTCAGTGTCAGGAGAGGCTACTGAAGAGCAGCTACAAGACTCCTCTCTAACTTGCTTTACACTGTAGTCTCTGAAGAAACCCTCCCTAATCTCTCTCCACCTTACGGAGGGGGGGGGGCACTCATCTCCTGGTTCCATGACCAGTGAGTCTAGAAAAGCGACCTCTTTCACATGAACATAGTATATGGGGGTTTTTTTCGGCCTGTATGTATGACCAAAATATGGTCCTGAATACAGCACTTCTTCTTTTGGGAATGTCCTTGATTCTCTTCTCCATCACAAGAGCATTTTAGTTAAGGGGCAATAATGTTTCCACACAATCAAATTCCCCCCCCCAATCACTTGAACAATCACCGATCAATATGGCGCCTAACAGTTCATGAACAGCTGATCAACAGCCACCAATTGCTCCATTTGTTGCAGCCTCCACTGAGGTTACCATCGCTGATCAATGGTTTCTGTGGCCCCCAAAGATCTACAAAGCCACCCACAACCCACATCTTCGCTCACCAGAGAAACTAAATTTGTAAACCACCAAAATTCTAAGCTCCTCAAAAAACCTGAATGTTGCCTTGGTGCCATTACAAAAACCAAAACCCACCCTGGGTTACCTGGAACGACCCAGAGAAAGAAGGTAGGTAGGGCTTAGGTTTCCTTTCTTCAGGACCTGCCGCGTCACAGATGGAAAAGATATAACTGCCACAAAATAAAAATGCTAATTTAGAATCACCGAAGGGTCTCTAGGCCATGCATCCTGTACTTTGTTTTTTTGACTGACAAACATATTCCAGGACAGGCTCAGGTCTTCTTTCCATCCCATCCTCTTTACAGAGAGATGATTCAGCAGCCTACTTTTTTTCTGCAGTGGACCCATGCATTTCCTACAAGATAAGCTTGAGCAAAATATTTCCCCTCATAAACAAAATTCTTCTTCTATCCACTGGAATCCCTTAAGTCTGCTTCTAATTTCCTTGTCATTACAAAGGTTAATTTTGTAGGGAAAAATGAACTTGAAAGTCCTAGCTTTTAACAGCTGACTCAACTACTGAATGTTCCTTCCAAAACTGCAAAATCAGAATTTGTCCCATCTTTCTTGCAAACTTGCCTACAGCCCAAAAAAACCCACGAAACAATTAATTGCATAATTTTCAAGCCTGGCAGGCTTGTCGCCATGCAGGTATTACTCTAAGCACAGCTTTGGAACAGTTACAGTCTGTTAAAAGAACAGGGCTGCCCATTGAGGGATTCGGTATCCTTGCTTCTGCAATCAGAAAGGGTTGCAGAAGCAAGGATATGGTGCTGGACTATCTCCACAACCTGCTTTCCAGAGAAATAGCCATCTCAGCTTGCTGCAAGCAGATTGGCAAGGCCTGCTGCACTATCAAACTCTTCATAACATTCCTTTTTATGGACGATCTTTTTCCCAGAACAAAACACACCTTGGTGTGGGAATCTTAAGGCCATATTGACCTTTGGTTATCCAAATGGAAGCCCAAGCACTTCCTAAAGAAACCATTCCCTTTATAATCAGCAGGAACACATCAGAAACAAATCCACCATATCACAAAAGTTCTTTGGTGTCTCCTTTGAGAGGGACTTAAAAGGTTCCATTTACAGTGCAATGGCACCAGAGTGAGGAGAGGGCGCACCTCCAGATCTCCAGAGAAAGGCTGTTCCCAAGAGAAAGGCCATGGTGGAGAAACATCATCTCTAACTTGCCCACTCTGGATTCTCACTCGCAGCCTTCCTTCTCAAGACATGTGGACCATACAGGGAGATTCCAGTCTGTCTTAATCCCACTACAGGGTGTTAGTCCGGCTCCATTTGAGATGCTGGGTCAAGTTCTGTAGACCTCAGTTCAAAAAAAGGCATTGGTAACATTGAGCGAGTCCAGAGACGGGCAACAAAATGGTGCAAAGTTTGAGGGACAAAACCTATCAGGAGAGATTGAAGGAACTGAATATGCACAGCCTGGAGGACAGAAGGGAATGGGGGTACATGATTGAAACCTTTGAATATATTAAGGGTGCCAATAAGATTCTAGAAGACAGTGTTTTCAATATTAAAATATTGACATTTTATTGAAATACTACAATATTTCAGTTTTCTATGCTTCCAGGTTCTCTTTCCTCATTCTAGAAATAGGGATGTTTTGTCTTCTACTACTAAGCTTCTCTGAACAATGAAGAGACATCAGTTCCAGATTCTGAAGGGACAGAGAGCAACAGAGCAACCTTTTGACCAGGCAGAAAAAGTACAGACAGAGGGGAGGAAAGAGGCAAGATAAGGAGAGATTCTGCTCTTACTTTTAAAGTATTCCTTAAGTTCACTGCTAAATGAGCTCCAGCCATGCATCTACTTCCTTCAGAAGCTCCTTCCTGTTGGATGAACTTGATGTGATAAGTCTTCTACACAAACTTGCATTTTCTCTGCTAACCCAGCAGTTCTAGTGGTCTTGGAGGAAGTCATTCTCCCTGCAATTACAGAGACCATTTTTTGTACTGGAATTCTACTATAGCAGAAACTTTGGCAGGTGATGGAACAGATTGCAATAAAATGGCTATGTATGGACACGTGTATATAATAAAAGGGGCTGTGTATTAATACAAGCATGTATTTCTGTTTATATGGCTGCCCATCTCAGCAAGGTAAATCTGAGCAGCAAACACAATTAAAAATATCAGCATATTAAGAAAAATATAGAAATGTAAAAACCACATAAATATATTTTAATATCTTTAGTTCTGGAGAGGGTAGCACTGCCCTTGCCAGACCCAGTACATAACTCCCAACTACTGCTGAAAGAGCAGGTGGCAGTCGTGGCTAGGAGAGCCTTTGTGCAACTTCAGGTTGTGCACCAGTTGTGCCCTTTTCTGGATTGAGAATCCCTGCGCTCAGTCACTCAGGCCCTAGTTATCTCTCACTTGGACTACTGCAATGTGCTCTACATGGGGTTACCCTTGAAGAGTATTTGGAAGCTACAAGTGGCTCTGAATGCAGCTGCATGGACAGTTCTTACACTGGTTACCCATTTGCTTCCAGGTCCAATTCAAGGTGTTGCTTATCACCTTTAAAGCCCTTTACGGCAGGGGTCCAAGTTACCTGAGGAGGATCCTGAGGATCCTTCTCACTCCAATGCGATTGGCTCACCACCGACGCCAGCAGAAGGGGCATGCTGCAGACCCCACTGATCAAGGAATTTGGGCTGGTGGTGTCCAGCAGATGAGCCTTTTCTGCTGCAGCACTCATCCTGAGGAACCCCACAGCCCTCGGGGTGAGCTCTGTCCCCATCCTTGTGGCCTTCTGTCTTAAAACCTGGCTCAGCCAGTTGGCCTGGAGCCTGGATGGGGCCTTGTCACCTTGTGGTTACTGGATTAACTAGAAGATTCCCCCCTCTGCTCTATTATTTCCCCACCCCATCTCTGCTATTTCAGCTATTTCTTGTTAATTTTATTGTATTTATTGTCCCACTGAATTGTTTTAATTTTTATACTATAGTCTTATTACATTATAAGCCACCCAGAGTTGTGTGACAGTGAGAATAAATGTAATAAATAAACAAATAAACAAGCAGGAAGGCAAATTAAAATGAAAGCAAGAAAAAATTCCATCTGTAATAAACTAATACTTCACTGGCTCAACTAATGGATGAGCAAAGGCCCAGGGTGAGTTTGTCCTTTTCAAAGCTAGAAGGTAATAATCTCCTCAGCACTTTGTAACAGAAGCAGCTGCCATTCCAATGGAAAAAAGACACCTGTGTGTGACATCACAGCAGACACCCATGTGCCCATGTGCCCCCTGATGCCCAATGCAAACAAATCAACTACACTGTGGCATCCTGAACTCCATTTTTGCACTCCACCCTCTGCAGTTGTTGGTGAGAGGATTCCTCACTGCAGACCTCATTGCTCCAGCTGCAAAGCCACACATTATGCCAACCGTCTGGAATCCAGCTTAATGCCCTGACCCTGCACTGGTTTTCAAGGTGCTTCATCAGAAGTTAAGTAGAAATACAGAGCATAACTAGAAACATCCAACTACTGTGGCAGTTACAACTATGAGTGGCACAATTCCATTCCCCACTTAACTTCCGTCAAGAGCACGTACAACATGACCAGATCAGGGCCTCATCCAGTACAGAATCCTGCCTCTGCAGCAACCAACCAGGTGCTTCTTTGGGGAAGCATTCGAGCAGGAGACTGGGGCTCTCTCGGCTTCCCCAGCAGCGGTTCTCTCTGCAAGGCTGCCCCTGTGACCAGAGGCCATTGCCTACTTGGCGCCTGGTGCTTTCACTCCTTTTCTAAAGCCAAGTCCTTGGCCATGCCTAACCTTCCATCCTCTGTCATCTGTTTCAAGTCTCCTGCTGGAGAACAATTTATCTTGAACAGTAAAGGGATGCATTGCTGAAGGCTTTTGAGCATCTAGAGGCCAGGATGGCGCTTTCCCCATTTCTAGCACTGAGAACCAAAAGCATGAACTACCATCTGCTGAAGGAGAGAAAGCTTCCACCTACCAGAAACAAACCCATTTAATAATGGTGAAACAAGAGGATCCATTTAGGTGGCTGACTTTGCTAGTTCTATGCTCAGTGCTCTTCAGGGTGTACCAACACTTATATGCAAAATAGGCCATTTCTTTCATCAAATAAACAGAATGTGTTTCAGAAAGAGAAGAATCACAAATATGAGACACTGATAATTCACACTTTACCCCTTCATTTAATAAAGAAAGATACAGAATTTGTACCTGCTCCTATTTCACATCCAGTGTATTTTCTTCCCACACGTCCCTATGCAACAAAGTTTTACGGCAGCTTTCTTTTGCTCAAATTCTATCATTGATGGTTGGAGTCGTTTCAAATCGCTGGTCTTTTTCAATAAGTTGATGGCAAATTCCACCTTTTTCAGACAGTTTTCCCAAGCAGGAAAGGTGAAAGTGCCCAATAAGCTCCAATCTGGACTCTATATTTGAAACTCAGGAGCTGGCTTCTTATGGAATATGGAAGAAAGATCAGGTGGGACACCAAAGAAGCATCCCCCAATTCATCTTATAAGTGCTGCATGCCACTTGTTCCCTTATACCAGCTCGACTGCCATATAATTTGTACCCTTTAAGTTTTTAGCTAAAAATTATTCAAAAGAGAGTTTGCAAATTAAAAGCAATTCTGCTATAGCCATTGTCATTTTAGTGGGATAATGCAAAATTGAAGGAATAGGGTTGCCTTCTAAAATGTAATCTTTACTTATTTTAACTCTTACATTTCATCCAACATTTCAAAGTGTCTTGCACCTCTTGAGTGCAAAGCTTCCTCCCCCAAAACATCTGGCTCTAGTGCAGAAAAAAATCTGCAACTCCCTGTTTTGCCCAGCCATGAGGCTGACAAGCCAGCCAACCCCATCTCTACAAACAGCTCTTGCTGGGCCTGGGGATGAAACCAACATTTCATCAGAATCAGAATAGATCTGGAAGGGACCTTGGAGGTCTTCTAGTGCAACCCCCTGCTCAAGAAGACTCTATGCCATTTCAGATAAGTGGCTGTCCAATCTCTTCTTAAAAACCTCCAGTGATGCAGCACCCACAACCTCTGGAGGCAAGACATTCCACTGATCAATCGGAAATTTCTCCTTAGTTCTAGTTTGGTTCTCTCCTTGATTAGTTTCCATCCATTGCTTTTTGTCCTGAACTCTGGTGCTTTGACCCTTTCCTCTTTGTGGCAGCCCCTCAAATATTGGAACACTATCATGTCCACCCTTGTCCTTCTTTTCTCTAGACTAGCCAAATCCAAATCCTGCAACCATTCTTTATATCTTTTAGTCTCCAGACTTTTAATCATCTTAGTTGCTCTTCTTTGCACTTTTTCCAAAGCCTCAACATCTTTTTTGTAATGTGGTGACCAAAACTGGATGCAGTATTCCATGTGTGCCCTTACTAGGGCTTTATAAAGCCATACTAATACTTTACGTGATTTTGATTCTATGCCTCCATTTATACCACCAAGGATTTTTTGGCTGCTGCTGCACACTGCTGGCTCATGTTTAAGTTATCATCCACAAAGACTCCTAGATCCTTCTCACAGTTACTGCTTTTGAGCCAGATTTCACCTAATGATTACTTGTACCTTTGGTTTTCCCTGCCTAAGTCTAAAACCTTGTTTTTCTCCACACTACATTTCATGTTGTTGGATAGGGCCCATTGTTCAAATCTGTCAAGATCATTTTGGATCCTGAGCTTGTCTTCTGGAGTGTTGGCTATTCCTGCCAGCTTAGTGTCATTTGCAAATTTTATGAGTTCCCCTTCTCTTCCCTCATCTAAGTCATTAATGAAGATATTGAAGAGTACTGGGCCTAAGACGGAGCCTTGTGGCATCCCACTGCTTACTTCCCTCCATTTAAATGTAGTACCATTGAGGACGATTCATTGAGCACATTTTGTCAGCCAGTTACAAATCCATCTGGTGGTGACTAAATTAAAAGACCAGTGAAATGCTGGTGGTTTACTTTGTCAAAGAATGAAAAAAGATTGGTTTGGCATGATCTATTTTTAACAAACCCATGCTGGCTTTTAATTATAACTTTATTTGTCTAGATATTTGGAGATCTGTTTTTTATTATCATTTCCAGTATTTTTCCAGGTACTGATGTTAGGCTAATTGGTCTGTAGTTTCCTGAGTCTGCTTTTTTTCCCTTTTTGTAGATGGGAATCACACCATCTCTTTTCCAATCCTCAGGTAATTCCCTGGTGTTCCAGGATTTTTGAAATATATGATAAAATGGTTCTAAGATGATATCTGCCAGCTCCTTCAGAATTCTGGGATGTAAACCATCAGATCCCGGTAATTTATATTTGTCAAGATCGGATAGGTGTTCTCTATCCAATTTTCTTGCTTATTTAATTTTTATTTTTAGTCTGTCTTTTACAGTTAGATTTTTGGTAGGTTGGGCTATACTTTCTTTTTGCATGAAGACTGATGCAAAGAATGAGTTAAGCAGCTCCGCTTTCTCTCTACTGCCTATTACTTCCTTGCCATCTTCTCTCTTAAGTAGACCTACTGTTGTCAACGCCGCTAACATTGGATGTTCTTGCTTTGACAACAGAGTTAAATGATGCTGGGAGGGGGGATGTGGATGAGAGTCCAGTTAGTCATAACATCAATAACTCAGCAGTGGGAATCAAGGTTATTGTGTCCAGAGCTGATAAAGGTTTGGTGGGCTGGAGAGCTGAGGAGAAAGCCTGTGCTTCAAGCTAATTGGGGAATGTGATTTATGACAGTTAATTGGAGAAGGGAATTGTGCTTTGCTAGTTTGTGCCCAGGGGAGGGGAATTGGCTTTAACTATGTAGTGCCAATACTTCTTTTCTCGAATAAAAGATTCGTTAAGGTAAACAATGCCTCAAAGTTCTTTTAAAGAGTTTCATCTGTCAGAACCATGACACTGTTTCCTTGACTTTTTTCTTGTTATTTATATGTTGAAAGAA